GAAGTTTAAATAGGTAAGGCCTCCCTGGACAGTCATTAAGAGTCTACAAAGGCTAACAAATCTGATTAAGTCATTTAAGCATGCTTTCTCCTTTCTAAGTTTGAGCTGACTGCTTTTGACCAGTTTGGATCTAGACAACCCATTTCAGTTTGTGTACAGCATTTCGTGCCAATGTTAAGTTGAAATGCACAGATCTTTATTCTCCTTTCCCTAACTTAGGTTCGTCAGTACTTTGCTGGTAGAGAAAAAAAAAATAGTTGGCCAAAAAAAAATTGATGGCCATTTTAGAAGAATACGCAGCTGCATATTTTAACCATTTTTGCCAACTGAATCCCAGCTTTTCCCAGTATCATAATATCAGGCTTCTTTGCGGTAAAGATTTCCAATATTTACAATGCTTAGACAAACCCTTAAGAAAAGGGTTTTTCCACAGTGAATCACAAACTGCATATTTTGGGAAACAGCACTTCAAGGACAGATGTAACACACTGAGAAATTATGTGGGAAGATAAAAATCATTAATGTTTTCAGCTGCTGTGATACAGAGTGCTTCCAAAGTGTGGTAAAACCTGCTGAGGATCTCCTGCAGCCTCTTTGCCAGAAGAAAAGAAAAATGCTATTAGTGATATTTCTACATCTACTGAGTTGAGCAGTTATTTAACATATTTGATAGTGATTTCCAGGAGTCTGTTAGATCCGAGATACATGCTCACACAAAGGTGATGGAAGAACTTAAAAACTAGGATTACCTACAAAAGAATTTTAGCTATAAGCCATTTTTAGATTTTAATACAGCCATTGCTTGCTACATTTATTATTGCTTCCTGCTGGAACAAATAGAAAAGTTTTCCTTGTGATCATGTTAGAGAACATTGATAAGATTCCCGAAGCTATTACTAATTATAACAATTAGAAGAAAATTGTGTGGTTAATGACAAACGTTCTTTTCTTCCTTCTGTTCATTTTGTTTCCTACCCCTGTATCTTATACACACACTCAGAAGTCTCTCTGCAGATTTGGTCTCTTTCCTCAGGCCCTACTTTCCTGCCCAGAGAGGAGAGAGACAAGCCACCCATTGCCCTCCAGCTTCATGCTACGTTCTCCACTCCTGGTCATCCTGGGAGAGGCCTACTCCTCATGCTCTACAGTCACCTTCTTAAGGCCGTCACTGAGGAGTGATGGATCAAGACAGGGAGATACCCCCAAACCCAAGTACCCCTTCTTGCAGGCATAATTAAATATATGCTGAATTCAACATAGCGCATGTCAATCACTTTTGATATTTCAAGAAATCCATTCCTCTTTCATAGTCAATTGATGAATCTTGAAATGATGGATGCGACAATAGCTGTCAGTTTTAAAGTTCATTTGATGTAAAACGCATTGAACCCCCTCCAGAATAATAATAAAAAAAAAGTCTGCCACAAAAAAACCCACTTTGTATTCTTACTCTTAGATGAGCACAGAAACAGAAGCTTGTTAGCTTCTATCTTCTTGACCAGTTATAACTAAGTCATCAACCCTTTTTATTTTTAAATGAGGTGTTTGTTTTATATTCAGTGCACAAATAATTCTACTACAACCTCTGAATGCTCAATTTTCAGAATTCATTTCTTTGTTCAATTCTTCAGCTTTCCTTTGCGCGCTTCCACTCCCCCAACCCCTTCCTTTCCACTTTCAGTTGAAATGCAATTTTGTCACCATGTTTAACCACAACTTTACTTGAGAGGTCTACAAGGAAGCTCCAGCACAGGCCAGGAGCCAGCGCAAGGGGTGCTCTAAGTTCTTTGAACATGAGCAGTTAGTAAGATGCATAGGAAATGAAGGATATAAAGCCAGGCAGGAGCACAAAAGGACTGAACAAACCTCGTTGTACTGAAACTCAACACTCCAGAAGATGGATGGATAGCTGTCAAGCTTTTCATAGGTATACAAAAAGGCATGGCTTTGCAGAAAGCCTTACAGTAACAAACTAGATGTTTACAAGAGTGAAAGACAAGGTGGTTGGAAGCAAAAATGTTCATTTGCAGGTACTTAGCTAGCAATTGGCTAGCTTTGGCTAATTCCAACTTTTGCCAAGAGAAGCAGACAACAAGCTTACTGATAGCACTGAGATGATCAACAGGCACGATTTACAGAAGTCCTATGAAGTTGCTCACATTTTATGGGAGATGCAGAGATCGCAGCAGTGGAAGGAAACAAAAGGAAGTGTGATGCAATTCAAGCAACAAACTACCAAAATTACGCATACAGATTCTGGGTAAAAGCAGGGCAATATTGCACTTTACAGCAAGAAATGAGACATCACCAAAACGATCAAAATATAAAAGTCAGAAGAGCATGGCCAGAGCGTAAGTTACATTAACATCCTGTTCAAGCACTTTGTAGATACAGAGACCACATCATCGAGACCTAGACAACAGCCCAGGTGTGAAAGCTTGGGGGGGTGAAGGGTAGGGAAAGGGGGGTCAGTGATGATGCACAGGTACAGAACTGAGCAACTGGCCCAATGGCGCACAGTGGCTCTCTACATAGAGAATTTGCTATTTCTTATGCATGTTAGAAGGATGAGTTACCTATTGAACCACTTAAGCTACCCACATGTACTCTACGTACTCTCCTGTTCTTCTTGTTCATATCAAAACTACTGTATTTTCTTAGTTCCACATTTCCTAGAAGCACATGTGTTCTTCCACACTTCACCACAGTCCATTCAGAGCTTTTTACATGCAGCTTTGTCCTTTCACGCTGCAAACAGGGTTATTCTGGCCCTTTTTCTGACAGGTGGAGGAACACAAAAAGTCAAAACATTCGCTCTGGCACTCACAGATTAGATTCAGGTAAATTGCTGCACAGCAAATTCTGACAACAGAAACCAACCCCTGTTCTTGACCAAGCCGAAAGCAGCCAAAAAAGTGGGAAATACACAGAAAGGATGCACCATGCAACTGCTGCTGGGTTGAAATTAACAGTCGAGGGTAGACAGTAATCTTGTTTCTGACTGTAGGAGGTACTCTGTAATACATTTCTTCTTTTTCTTTCCTTCACGCTTTAGTTCTACCACAGGAAACCTACACACTAAACAAATGACAGTTTTGCAACATTTAATTCTATTCGCTTCAATCAATCCATCTGAGGATGACCTAATCTAAGTTAATGATCATCCAAAAGGAAAGTTCCCCTCCTATTTCACCCCATTTTCTAGGTTTTTGGCTCACAGCTGCAAGCTCTTTCTCTTCCCTAACCTTAACCACAGCTTTGGGGCTTGCTAGACTTCATCATGACTAAGTTCTGTCTACTAACTGGATGGCAAACTGATGCAACAAAGCCAGAATACTTTCCTTCCAAGTTAGTGACTGGAAATGTCTTAGCCCTTACCAGTACTGCAAGTACCTGAACAAAGGTAGTGGAGGAACCACTCAGCAAACAGCAAGAAAAAGCAAGGCTTTTCATTTCAAGGATGGTGGGCTCTTTTCATATGACTTGCTCTCTCATGGGATAACTCAACTGAAAAAGCAGAATTCCTGTCACTCTCATCTTTCTCCCAATGGCTTCCTGCTCCCTAGTCAGCACCAGCACTACTTGTCACGAGACTGACTTCATGACCCAGCAGAGGAACACCCTGCTCAGTCTTCCAGGGCTTCTCTACCACATTGATGACCCAGAGTTGCAGTTTCATCTCAGCAGCACATGGAACCATCGAACTACTTCAAGCTCCAACTATTTCAGACTTACCATACTCTTTACACTAGTGTAATAATTTCCTAGTACACATTCATGTAAATGCCCTCGTCCCTACCAATGAAGAATTGGAGAATAATCTAAAAGCTTCCAGAGCAGGGATCTGCTTTAATTTAGATACAAGCAAGTGAAAAATGGCTATAATGAACTACAGATTTCACTGCTTGAAAACTAGACTTAGAAAAGATTAAGCTCATTATTATCACTACATGAGACGCAATCTGATGAAACCAACACACACGTGGTAATATTAAATCCAGACATATGAAACGAACCGGTTCATGTGAAAACAGAGGTGTGTTTATATACCACTGAGTGGTTAAAACAGTGATTAGCACTCACTCAATACTCCCATTTCACATTAGCAATAAGTAAAGCAACGACAGAGGGCCTCATTTGACCTTAACTGTTAAGGACATTATGTCAACATTTGTATAATCAAGCTAGTGCCCTGCTCTGACATATTAAGATAAAAGCTAGAGGTACCTCAAATAATGAGATCTTTATTTTTAATTATCCAGTGCCTTTAGGCAGCAATCACAATTTAAAAGACTACAAAAGAAGTCTAGTTGACCTCTAGTTATTTCAATACTTGAGATAACCAAGAATAGGGCAGGGTTTGGAGCAAGTGAAAACCATTCAATGCCTAATAGATGTAACTTAGGCATGCAGTCCTTATTTATGTTCTTAATGGTCCTATGTCAATGCAACTTTATGAATCTGGAGTGATGAAAGACTAGAGAAATTTAATTTGTAATTAGTTTACAAATTAAAGCCAGCTTAAAAATATTACACCATCCTACAATTTTATGTATTACTTCAAGAAGTTCCCTTCTACTAATAGCATTTTTCGGATGCTACATGATTATTTGCCAAAGTGAAAAAAAAAAGTTAACTGCTTTAAAGGGAATCTTAGTCTTGTAAGATGTTTTCATGTGTACATGTATATATTTGCTTTTAACAACACAGCATGCCTTTTTCTGTTATACACACACACAATCTCCCTCCCCCCCATTCCCAAAAAAGCTATAACCGCACCAACATAATTACTAGACTATGCCACTGATCTTCCCCTACTAATGCATACCAGGAATCCCATCCAGTTCCTTTCTATCTCCAGGGAAACAGTTAAGTTTTTAATACACAAGGAGAATGTTCTCTTTTACTACAGGTATTTTCAGTTTTAACATAAGATGCTTCATATAAGATTAAGATAACACACCATTAATCTAACCACATTCATTTGAATGTAAACTTACCTCTAAATATATCGATGGTGGGTTATGCTCTCCTCCAAATTTGTCTAGCAGTGCCTCTATATGTTCTTGTGTTAATTTAATCATCTGTTTGATATTCCACACCTAAAACAGAAAATTAAAAATTTTTATAATCAAAAGAAGCCTAGAGAATTTGTCCTAAACCTAACAAATTGCATTTTCTTGATACCTAATAACAGAAGTCCATAATAAAAGTATTTCAATTATCAGCAAAAGAGTGCACAAAGCTATCCCATTCATCTCCTGTCAGTAAGACACAACTTGCTTCTGAGATAAACAGAAAAATTCAATTTGGTTTTAAAATTCAAGAACCATCGAATAAACAACTTTTAAGAATGGTTTAGCTGTCATGTTTATCAGAACCATATTGAGTATTTCCTTGCAAGACTTCGCAACCCAATTTCTACAGTACTACAAAGTTGAGTGAAAGAGTTTTTCCATCAAACCTTAAGTAACCTGTGTAAACAACATTCACAAAACCTAGACCTAGTCTTCTATTTGCATGGTGCTTCCTGATGTTCAGGGGGAACCTCCTGTGTTTCAATCTGTACCCATCGCCTCTGGGTCCTGTCACTGTGCACAACTCAAGACAGCCTGGCTCCGTCTACCTTTCACTGACCCTTAATCATCTTTGTGGCCCTTCACCGGACTGTCCCCAGTACGGCCACGTCTCTCGTTTTCTGGGGAGCCCAGAACTGGACACAGCACTCCAGGTATGGCCTCGCCAGTGCTCAGTAAGATGAACCTCTGTCAGAGGAGTTTCCAAATACTTTTTTTGAAGATTGATAACAAATAACTTCCTTGCTCATATGTTATTTTCTATTTTGTGCCATAACCACAATCTTGCTTCTCTCTTCTCTTACAGTAAAGATATAGAATAACAAATATAACTGAGCAACGGCAATATGCACAACGGAAGCGTGTTATTTAGGAGATGTTGGCAAGAGAATCAAAGAACCTCTCACAAGGGCAGCAATCTTCCTGCTAAGTTAATATCATGACAAGAGCAAAAACTGACTAATGAAGAAAATGAAAAATTTTGAAACTTGCTGCCAGGGTATGGCAAAAAATGTCTTCACTCGCAGAAGCTAAAGTCTAGTGGAAGACAACATTGCTCAGAGGAGCTGGAAATGGTGCCCTGAATTACCTACTATACATCTGTGCACTAAACCAAGAGCCTTTCCCCAAGTGAATCTTACAGGCAAACTTTATATGGATTGCTATCATCTTCGAAAGGCCATTCATACAGTCAGAAGTATGCTGAAGGCAGAAGGAAATTTATCAAAGTCAACCATAGCAACAAATCATTACTTGTTGCTCACAGAAATTGAAAACCTATTTTGCGTGCCATATTCATCAAAAGCCTTCTGACAAGCTGAAAAAACTTCCACAAATCTAGTATTGACTAGCAGATTCTATCCCTAATCGAGTAGGCACAAGAACACATATGCCATGGCAAATTTCCAAACTTCACAATTTCCCTTCAAGTGGCAAATTCTACTTACGTTTTACTTAAAAAAAACCCTTACCTTCTGGCTTCCCATAGTAGTGAATATGCTTATGCACAGGTTTTTGTGGTCCAGAGCATCCCTACACTAGATAGCTCCTTGAGAATCGACCCCTGTGCAAGTGTATTGCATCCTACTATGCAGGATCTCCAACTACTCAATTCAATTGAAGGAACGCAAGCCTTTTCCTAACCGGAATTAAGAACAAGTGCTCTGTGCAAGTGACCTCATGTGACTCAAAAATAGCTGTTTTTGCACACCACAGTACTCACAGCTTCTACCTTACAAAAAAAACCCCAACCAACCCATACTTGTTGCACTTACACAGCCAGCAGAGCCAGCACCTTCAGCCTTTCTTTTCTCCTCTCAAACTCGGTTGTTCCAATAAGTTCCCTCAGCTAAATTCGCACCGCGTGTGCTAGCCCAGCCTTCTAGACTTTGAGTCAAGACACATTCCCACCATCTCTGTGGAAAAACACTTGGCTCTTAAGAATTGCATCTCTTGAATTTAGTAGCACTCACAGACGTATGAGTTTCTTGGAAATAAGACCTAAGAGTACAGAAAATTGACTCGGATTTCAGTAAGCATCTCATTCCCCATAAACACGCACATTCCAGGACAGCAGCAAAGAACCACCTAACAACAAAGGCAGTGAAAACATTAAATACGGAATCCTTTTAGCAATCAGTTCTGGACCAAAAATCTTGTGCCTAGACAACAGAATAAACCCAAGTTTTTCCAAGCTAAACGCATACACACTGATATTATACCTTCCTTGAGATCCCACAGTAATCCCTTTATTCACGCTTTCTCTAGAAGCAAAAGGAGACTGCAGAAGACTGCTGGTCATCAAGAAAGAACAGACTTATTTTCTGTTACTCTTTTGGGCACTCCAGTACACTTATGAAACTCCACACCTATAGGAAACCATAAAACCACAATTGCCAAGTATCTTGAAGAAATACAAAAATCAATGCCAGCCTACGAGACAGTTGCTAGAAAGCTTAATGTACTCTGAAGAAAATCTGCAATATACCTTGTACCGTCCACATGCAAGTCCAGTCCCTTCCCAAAGGAAACAGCACAGTTATTTGAGTCACACTGTTTCACTGTAGTTCCACGAAAAAGTAATGAATCCTTTGAAGAGCTTCAATAACCTTATCACTTTTCCAAAAAAAGTCTCAAATAAATTTTTCTGTCTTATCCGGTAGCATTAGGTTAAGAGATCTCACAAGAGATTAGATTTGATTCTCCTTTTAGTGCTGCTGACACAGGGAAGCTGACGCAGGCTAACATGGACACAGGCAGCCAGAAGACTGGAAATATTCCAGATATACTGGAATATATCAACTTGTATCTGCCTATTGTGGATAATTGTGCATTAATTTTGCAAGTAAGCACTCCCTTGCAATGTAATAAAGACGATGACCTATTTCAAGCCAGAGGCAAGTCAGATATGGTAGAAGCCTAAATCCATTCTATTCAGGGAAGACTATGGTTCCCCAAATGTGAAGCTATAAGCCACAAAGTTATTTCTGCATCCTTTGCTGTGCCTGAGACAGCACAACACAAACTATCTTTTATACTTTTTGCACCTGCCATCAGTACTCAAGTCTTGCTGCACAACCCACCTCTAAGGCCTATGATTCACATTTGGTAGAAGACACCCGAGAGTTCAAATCTGTACTGTAAAGGAAAAAAAAAAAAAAACCATTATTTGTGCAGGCACATTATGTCCTGCACTTGGATTATCAGACTTGGTGATGATGGAGAATACTTTGATAGAACCAACTAGGTAATTAAAAAAATAAACAAATAATTAAGCATTTGATTTGGAAACAGTTTTATAAGGAGGACAAAATCATCAATACGTATCCAATACTATTCTAATCAGTCCCTTCAGGCTTCTTTCTTACAGAATCAATTCAATTGCTTGATCCACTGAGCTAGGATCCACATTGTCAGAAAATACTTTAGAAAGCCGTCATATGTGAGGTTGTTCTTAGCTGGACTAATGTCTTAAGTAACTTGAAAGTGAAGTATTAGAGTGAAAGAGAGGCGAGAGAACATAAGAATGGGGTTAATAACTCAGAACCCCACCTCAGCGTCTGCACATCAAGATGCAGAGTTTGCATTTTCCCAGTTTCTTTGCTGAAAAATCACTGTTACCTCTTCCTCACATTTTGATATCTTTTCCTAAGATACTTTCCCTCCTTATCAACCTTGATTGGTACTAGTCCTCTTCTTGCCTCTTAAAAAGTTTCCTTTGCATTTTCTGCTGTCATCCACTGGAACATGCAGATAGAGCGGGAAGGATAGCCCTTTCCTTCTTCCTAGACTTCAGGCTCTAGCTCTTCTCCATCTCTCAGTGGAAGCTTCTCTCAACTGGCACATCCACTGTGCGAATTTTTGCATTTTTCCTACTCTCTGCTGGCTCTTCACATTTACAACATTTTCAAGAGTGCAGTTAACTTGTTTTTTGTTAAACAAGTATGAATAGAAAATATCAGCTGAAAAATTTTATTGACTTGAAAACCAACTTGCAATGGGTTTCAAGTAAGAGTTCATACAAGTGACATGAATGTCAACATGGAGGCTGCCTTTCCAAGTTTATCTTCCCCAACTTTTTATTAATGTTGGTGAACCATCTTTATCACAGCTCCTTTTCAATGTCTGACATACAAACGCAGTGTGTTTTCATTGTTGGCTAGCTAAACAGTTCAGAATGAGTCTGGTAAAATTTACAATCACAGATTAGTAAATGAGATATAGACAACAATACCTACAGAAGTTACTGCAGCAAAGAGAAAAGCAATCTGGTATCTCTTTTTCCACAAAAGTCTACGAATGTATCTTTCTAGACTGATGAAGAAAGGCCTTGAGGAAGACGTATAACAGTAGGTTCAAGACGGAAAATCATCAAGAAGAGGTACAACATTTTTTGTACCATCCTGTCTGATGACTAGGATCATAACTAGGTCAGCTAATACAGTAATGTGATCAGCAGGCAGCTGCTGTAAGCACAGCAGTTAGTCAAACATTAAAAAGGCTTCAAGATGAAAACTATTTTCCATTACACAGGTGAATTTTAGGAAGGAAAGGCCACTTCTTAATCCCCCATAACCAGCAACACAAGTTTTCAACTATGTTCCGTTGTGACACTGTTCCTGTTAAGGAAAAAAAAAAAAACAGAAAACCAACCAAAAAAACCCACCACCAAAAGAAATCACCCAATAACTCCCTCCCCACTCCAAAAAAAAAATGTAGGAAACATCTGACCAAGTTAACACTCAAGTATCAGAGTATCATCTTTGAGGAGTTAGCAGCACAAACTGTATTACAAAAACTCAGTGGCAGACTAACTCTGCGATTCTAAAACCAACACATTCAATAAAAATCTTGCTTTCTTTACCAGAGGACTTCCAGCACATGACATCTTGGTATTACTTAGTTTTTACTTAAAATTCTTGCACTTTCATTTATTTGCAAACCATCAGTTGCAACTGAGACTAATCCATGTCTTTTTGCTTTAATTCTAAACACAAATTGATTTGCCCATCATTCAGCCCTTGTCT